GAGCGGCGCCGTCGAGGCCGTGGAGGAGGCCGTCTTGGCCGGCCGTGGCGGCTCCCGCCGGAGGCGGGAGGGCGGTTCCTGCCGTAGGCGGGGGGAAGGGGGGTGGGTCCCGTGCCGACGGGCCGCTTCCCAACCTCGGATCGTGTCAGCCGTGTGACAGTCGTGCGTATGTCAGCCGTGTGACAGAGGGATTCGCCCTCGGCCCCCCTCGGAGGGGCCCCCCTCGAGGGCCGCGTGCCCCGCTCGGTTGGGGGCGCCCCTGTTTCCCCCGCCCAAGGGGGGGGGGGGGGGGCGAGGGATCGCCCTCGGCGAGGGATCCGCCCTCACACGGGATCGCCGTGTCCTCGTACTCACCGGTCGCCGGGTCATTGTACCGTATGTCAGCCGTGTGACGGAGGGATTCGCCCTCGGCCCTCGGAGGGACCGCCCTCGAGGGCCACGTTCGCCGCTCGGTCGGAGGCGCCGCTGTGTCCGCCGGCCGAGGGGGGGGGGGGGGGCGAGGGATTCCCCCTCACACGGGTTCGCCGTGTCTCAATATGTCAGCCGGGTGACGGAGGGATTCGCCCTCGGCCCTCGGGGGGATCGCCCTCGAGGGCCATGTTCGCCGCTCGAAGGGTGGAGCCGCTGTGCCCACCGGCCGAGGGAAAAAGCAAGCGGGAGGGGGGGCGAGGGGGGGTGGACGGTCACCTGGATCGTTGAACTCGGAACGTTGGCTGGGGCTGCAGACGAGCGGCGCGGGGGGCGACGTCGGCTCCGCGACGCCGTCGGCCCGGGAGCAGCCGCGCGCGGGGATGACCTCGTCGTCGCCGACGAGGAGGCTGCGCAGCACCTTCTGCATGGAGGAGAGCATTGACGTTGCCGGCATCGGTAGTCGTTCGGTCCGGCCTGGCTGCCCTGCGCGCCGGGGCGCCTGCAGCGTGCGTCGCTGGCGGGCCGGCGGGTAGCGCCGCCTCCGCTCGCTTTGAGAACTGATAGGTTGGCGCCTGTCTGAGCAGGAGCCGACGCTAGTCGGGAGCTGTGTCGGAGCCTCGTGGCGCTCGGATGTCCCGCGCACAAAGCGGCGGGCAGCGGCGGGCGCGGGGGTAAGGGTTCCCGCCCGCTAGGCGCTGCCCTCTGCGCCGAGGCTCGACCCGCTTCTCCTCAGTTCACTAGCACGAACTAAAGTTTGTTTATCACCAACAAGCTTTGGGCGGAGAGTGCGGGGCCGAGCCGGTGCGTCCTACACACGGTCACATCAAGAAAAACAGGGATTTTACTCCGCGCCGTTGCGTTTCCGTTGCCGGGGTTGCGGCGCAGCGCTATGCAGGACGAACCGTCATCAAAGCGGCCGAAGCTGTTCCCTACGTCGGTCGAGCCTTCGGCCGCCGCCACCGAAGCGGTGACCAAGTCACAGTCCAATCTTCCGCTCGCTCCGCTGGCACTGTCGGCCGACGCCCTGGTGCTGGCCGAGCGTGCCCTCGACTTCTTTGGAGGTCCCTTTGGCGGCTATGGCTACCTGTCCGCAGGGGAGCGCAACGAAAAGAAGGTGCAGTGCGTCATGGACGCAGCCAAGTGCTCAAGGGCCGAGGCGCAGCAGCTCGTCGAGCAGAGGCTGAAACGAGAGGCCCAGGAGGAAGCGGCCGCGGAGGCCAAGGCGCTGTCCGCGATGGCGGCGCGGTCCCAAGAGAGTGGAAAGGTATGGGCGGTCGAACTAGATCCGTATAACAAGTACTGTGCGACGAAGCCGAAGCTGCTCTCGACGCATCGCTCAGAACAGGAGGCTACGCGGCGGGCAAAAGGCTGGTGGGCGAACGACACTTTTGGAGTCGACAACCTTACCATGCTAAGCGCGGAAGGCGAGCCTTATTCCGCCAATGCGTGCATCGAAATTGGTGGCGGCGTCATGACGGTTTCTGTCATCCAAGTCGACATCTCTGACCTCAAAGGATCCATGCTCAAGAAGGCGCTGCAGCTTCGAGGCGCGCCGGTCAGCGGCTCTGCGCAGGAGCTGCGTGACCGCCTGAAGGCACTGGTTGACAGCGAGCGCACATAGAAACCGATAGCGAGCGCTCAGTTTTGTTGGTCTTTGCGAGCGCGGTGCCGATGAACGCATTTTTTCTTTTGAGTTCTTTGAGCAGGTGTGCCGCTGCGCGGCGCTCGCGCGGCGGCGGTGTGTGTGTGTGCGCGCGCGCGCGGCGCGCGCGAATATTGGAAAAAGAATTCTCGGAGCTAAGGCATCTCCCGCGCTCCGGACGCCCCCAACCGCCATTCTCTGTAAATTAACTCGACGCGTTGGGACCGGCGGGGTCACAATCCCGGCTGTGGGGGCTGCCGGGACGCCTTGGGCCTGAGACGCCCCCTCCTCCCCTCCCCCCCTCCCTCCCCTGCCCCGAAGGACCACACCCTCCAGCTGAAGGCTTTCGCCGCCCTGCTCCGCCGCGCCTCCGCCTCCGCCGGCGACACGCCGCCGCCGCGCCTCCTGCTGGTGCTCGCAGGCGCCGCCGCGCCCTCTCCCGCTGCCCTCTCCCTGTCTCTGGCCGCCCCTCCCCCCCCTCTCCCCCCCTCTCCGCCCCCGCCCCCTGACCCGCTCTTGGGGACCACCAAGCGCGGCACTCCTCGGCTACGGCATGCTGACACGGATCCCTATCCTCTCAGATTGCTATCAATCGGCGATATTGGATCTCGTACGCGACGTCTGCACTGCGCTCTCCGCGCCCCTGACGATTAGTGAGGAGGTGGTGTTGCACAGCATGGAGCTCGGCGAGCGTTTAGCGAGCCCCTCAGCTAGAGTCGGAAATGCTCCCGCGCGAGTATGTTTGCCGCAGGCTGGCCAGATCGGACGCGTGGAGGGAGTCTAGGATGGGGAGAGAGGGAGGGGTAGAGGATTGGTTGGTGAACAGTCTGTCTGTGTCTAGGTTAGAGAGCAAAAGGGATAGAGGGAAGAAGGGAGGGACAGGGAGGGGCGTTTCGTTCTAAATTGATGAGAGGACTAGCACTTCACCGCCCGCACACTGCCGCCCATCCCTCCAAACGGGCTTCTTGGGTGGAAAGAGATGCCACCGGCGTCACGCCCTTAGTACGATGAACAGAGAAGCCCAAAAAAAGTCGCCGCAGCAGTCCACGACGAGCCGGCCTGCTGCCGGCTCGCACGGCAGCCTCTTCCTCTGGACCAGCCTCAACTTCCGTACAGTCAACATTTTGTCGCTGCGTGCTCGTGGCGAGCTGTGGCGGCGGTCGAAGTTGGCCCAGATTCGACGACGAGCGCCGGACGATAGTACTGCCTCTGTTCGCCCTGTGCATGTCAGGCCAGGCTGCAGCAGGGCACTACCATCGTGCTGCCCTGCTGCAGCCTGACCTTGCCCACTGTGCACAGCCGCCAGAGCACCACCACCGCCCGGCATCGTGTCACGGCGAGCTTCTTCTGCGCCCGCTTGCGAGGCTCTCGCGCTGGTACACTTTGGCCATCTGCTGCTCGCGTTCGGCGAGCTCTTCTCCGCACTCCTGCCACGGTGCCGCCACCACACACCTTCTGGCCGGCCTGAGCCGCGCGGACTCGCCGGCGGGGGCAACGTGTCGACCTCTCTTTCTGGTGCACCACGGGCCGCGACGGCTTGCTAGCAGCTGGCGCGAGGAGGCAGTGTGCCGGCACAGTCGAGCCGGAGCATCGGGTTCTTGATGCTTGTGGGGGTCAAGTTTGACCTTATGTGGCATAATATGCAACAAAAGGCTATGCTATCTCCCGGCTTTTTGAGATATGATCCCTCAAAGTCGAATTATGGTTTACTTGTGCGTTTCGTCCAACGAATACTTTAAAGTCTCGACAATCACTAAGCTGCTTATGTGGCACCGCAGAGGCTCCCTTGGGGATGCCTGAGGCCACCCCAACCAGTCACCAAGCCTTACGTGGACGAATTCAAACCTACTTTTATGGTCTACCCACTACCCACACTACGGCTCTAAGCGAGTAGCATGAAGTTGCCAAGAGGTACAAAAAATCATGTAAAAATTAAATTTGAATTTTGATGAGATGATCACTCTCTTTGATTGAAGATCCCTCACTCCTCACACCAAGATCGTGCAGGGCGGGGGGTCCCTTAATCCAGTGGCGGCGGAGGCGCCGGAACACCTCCAGGTGGATATGGTGGTTGCAGAGGAGGCATCGGGGGTGGCATCGGAGATGGCGGGACAGACGGCGGCGGCGGCTGGGGGAGCGGCGCTGGACTGAAGCACAGCTGCCATCCCAATTTCGTCCCATAGCTAGCTGACGACCATATGATCGTAGAGCCCGCCCCGAGCACCCCGGGTACCATACCCGCATTACACGCCCTGACTTTATTGATGTACATGGGTGATGTGCGGGTCACCCAACAAGGATCTACTTGTTGGGACCAGTAGCGCTCGGTGCACCACGAGCAGGCATTGCAGGCGTCCAGTGTGCACACCGCCGGGTCGTCGGGAAACCGGGGTAAGCCGGGCGGGTTGTCGTAGCAGTATGACCATCCTCTGCACTAGGGGGGGGGCACAGCGCCCCAAAATGCACCACTGTGGGATTTCGCGCAATCGCTTGACTCTGAAAAGCTCGCCATGTACCTTTCTGAGCGCTGTGGTCGCCGCAGACTGGCTTCGACTTGACGGGCGCATGGAGACGTGATGCGGCCTTCATGCGCCCGTCAAGTCGAAATCGATATGCAGCTCGATGGTTTGCCCGAAAAGGTTTGCCCGAAAAGGTACATGGCGGCGTTTCTCTCTATCTTGGGGGGGGGTCCGTGCGTCGGCCCGATCTTCCTCCTTTTTTTTGAGAGCGCCTTCGTAAAAAGAAAGAAAGAAAACACACAACCCAAAGGAGGGATGGGAGAACGGCACGCCGCCACCACACAGGGATTTTAAGGAGAGGAGAGTGTGATGCGCTAGCCGTCGCCCACCCTGGGGAGTCTGCCTCTTCGTTGTTAATAGTACGTTGATTTGCTTTTTTTTTTCTGATGCACATGCACCCAGGTGGTTGCGCTCGTTCTCCAGTGTCGATGCTCCCCACCCTCGCGGTGTGCGCTTCCTTCCTCTCGCCGCAGCTCGCGCGGCCGCCGGCCGAATCTCGTGCCGCCCCGCAGCCCCGCTGCAGCGTCGCGCTCGCGCTCACCCTCGGCCAGCAGCCGAGGAGCGCGGTTGAGCTGCTGCAGCTTGCGCAGCAGCTCCTCGCGCTCGAGCCTACACCGCTCGCGGTGGCGCAGCTGACGGACGCGATCGACTACCCCAGGCCGGCCGCCATCGACGACGCTGGCGGCGTCATGCCGCGGCTCGCCGATGCGCTCAAGCGGCAGCGGCGCGCATGGCTGCTCGTGGCGCTACTGCGGGAAGACAGAGACAAGTATGTGGAGACAGTCTCCTTCCTCAAGATTCCGCGGGACGAGCTCCCCAATCGGCAAGGTGTCCCGCTGCGCGCGTGCGACCCGGACCCGCGACGCCGCGACAGCGGCAGCGGCGAGCGGCCATCGAGTTGCGGGGGACGCCTCTTCCCGCAACAGCGTCGCCACACTTTGAGAAAAGCTTCGCCTTAGGCGAGCCGCTGGTGGAAGGTCTTAACGCGGAGGGGCTGGTGCCGGACTGCGCACTGGAGGACGTGCCGATGGGCGAGAATCCGCTCGAGGCGCACAGTTCCCGTAAATCTCTTTTGGCACACACACACACATACACACACACACACACACACACACACACACACACACACACACACACACACACACACACACACACCCCGCTCACCCACCTCGCTCACCCACGCGCAAAATCCTGGACATTCAATGCCGTGGGGCTCCTGTCTATCTGGACGTGGAGTCGCGAGGGCTGCCAGGCCCTTGCCCCACCACCTCGTGTGTGGAGAGTACCTGACGTCTGACCTGACCTCACCTTAGGCGGTGCTGCTCGAGACGACGCGCAACATCTACGCACGATCTAGCCGAGATCTAGCCCGAGATCTAGCCGAGATCTAGCCCGAGATCGCGCTGCTGCATGGGTGCCGTCCGAGATCGCGCCGAGATCTAGCCGGGATCGCGCTGCTTGCACGGGTATCGCCCTCATCGGCCTCCGCCCTCCCCCACTCCGCCTGGTTGATTGGTCCATTCACACGTAATGGATTGATTAGGCGGGCGAGACTGGGGTGAGCCGCAACCCAGAGAGGAGCATCCGCGGGCTGATCGACGAGATGCGCCGCTTCATGTTGTCGGCGGAGGGGGTGGCGGCTTCGTCGCAGCAGGAGGTGCATCGCTGCAGAAGGCCTCCAGCACACGCGCACGGCATCTCTCGCACCCTTCCTCGCACTCACTAAGGTGCGACAACCTCGTCGCCACACACACACATGCACACGCACGCACACGCACACGCACACGCACACGCACACGCACACGCACACGCACACGCACACGCACACACGCACACACGCACACACGCACACGCACGCACACACACACACACGCACGCACGCACGCACGCACGCACGCACGCACGCGCACGCACGCACGCACGCACGCACGCACGCACGCACGCACGCACGCACGCACGCACACACACACACACACACACACACACACACACACACACACACACACACACACACACACACACACACACACACACACACACACACACACACACACACACACACACACACGACCCGCCACCAGGTGCTCGTGCGCACGCTGCGCACGCTCATGACGCCGGTGCTGCCGCCCTTCTACCGCATCTTCATGGGCGGCCTCGTCCCACGGCACGACCCCGGCGACTCGCGCGTGGGTCCAAGACCCCGGGGACCCCGGCCCCGGCTGGCGGCTCGCCGGACCCTTGCCGAGCTCGGCCGGCGCTTTCTTTTCTGTAGGCGCGGACCCGAAGTGGCTGGCTGACGGCGTGCAGTGGGTGCGCGCCCGGCTGCCGTTTGGAAGGAGCTACCTCGAGCCTGGCCGGCAGCTCGGCCCGTGGTTCTACGCGCCGGCGCTGACGGCCGTCGTGGCTCCGTGCGCACCAGCTCCCCTCGCTTGCTTTGCGCGACACGCCAGGTCCGCGACGCTCTCATGGCTCGCCCCGCAGGTACGCTTTTGGTTTCCTGGTCGGCCCGGCGTCGCTCAACCGTCGCGCCGACGGCGAGGTTGGCGGGCTGGTTGTTGAGAAGTGCAAGTTCCTCCAAGAGTCGAGCTGCAAGGGCACGCCTCTCCGGCTCGCGCCCCCCTCCTGTGTCACCACGATTGCAGACCGGCGTGACATCGTGCACTGTAGGAATGTGCCTCAACTCGTGCAAGCTGCCCGCGCAGCAGCTCTTCTCCGAGCTCGGCCTCCCTCTGCGCGTCAGCCCAAATTTCGAGACGCAGGAATGCCAGTGGTCGTTTGGAGAGGCGGCGCCGCCGCCCGACGAGGACCCGACGTGGCCGAAAGGTTGCGTCGTCGGTTGCACGAGCCGAGAGGCGATGCGGGAGCTGAGCGGCGGCGGGCCGGCTGTGCGGGCATGCGAGTAAATAAATAAAAACGGACACCTCTCTACTGTGAGATGGGTAAAAAGGAACAGGCCCCCGCCCTTGCGATCTTTGTGCAGGGTTCTTTGTGGGTGTGGTCGGCGACTAGCCGGGGTCGTCCTCCCGATGGGGGACTAGCACTAGCCGTCTTCCACATGGTCCCTCGGGTCCCTGCTGCTCCTAATCTCTTCGTACATCCTCCTGCTGATCTCCGCAAAGTCCTGCTCCCTCCCTCGTCTCACCCTGCGCGTCTGCTCCGCCTCACCGTCTTCTGCCCTGCGTCGTCTGGCGACGGGTCCTCCATAGTCGGTCGAGGTCGCCGCCCTCCTCGTGCCTCTTCCCAACGTTTCCTCGGCGGCCGATGCCGTCTGCTCCGGCTCCCCAGTCCCCGGGTCTGCCCTGCTCTCGTCTGCGCTAGTTTCTGCTTCGTCCTCACCGGCGTCTCTCCTCTTCCCTCTCCCCTTCTTGTATGCTTTGCACATCGCGTCGATTCCTGTTCGCGTGAGCACCAGCCTGAAGCCCGCCCAGCATCTGAACCGCTCCCTAAGTCGAAGGAGCATCATCAGTCTCACCCACTTCGCTCTCTGCCCACCGTCTCCGCTCCCTCCCGCTTGAGCCGCCCTCGTTCGTCCCACTGGCTGTTGGCCTGTTCCCACGTTACCTCCATTATCCCTCCTCCTCCGCGACTCCCTCAAGGCTGGCCGGGCCTCCTTCCACCCAGCGAAGAGCTTCCTCAGCCACTCGATGTGTTCCTCTCTCTTCATTATGCGCGCCGTAGCCTCATCATTGAGCTGGATCCACCTCCGGAGCCGGCGGGCGCCGCCGCCGTCGCCCAGCTGGCCCGCTCTGCACGGCACGTGAGCGCGCGCGCGCCAAAGCACCCGTTCCTGGGTCTCATAGGGGCTGGGTTCGAAGAGGATCACGAGGAGTGCGATGACGAGCACCTCCGTGTCGCTGGCGTGGTCGTTGCCGGACTCGACGAACCTCTCGCGCGCCCGTCGAGGTGATGGCAGGCAGAAGTTTTTCTCCTGCGCAGGTGCGCGAGCGAGCGTCAGCGCGCCGAGGGCCACTGCGTGTCACTGCACCCGTTGGAGCCGCGCGCACCGGGTCGGCCAGGAAGAGCATCGCCGAGGGAAGCGACAAGCGCCCGGGGAGCACGGGGGAGCGCCGCGTCCGAGCCCCAGGTCTGCCCAAGTACCTATCCACCATTTCTGGACATGTTCAGGTCAAGCTGCCATGGCCGACTCGGGGTACCCCACGCGACCCGGGCGACTCGATGGCCGCCTCCGCGGCGGCGGCGTCCGGCGCGCCCGGCTGCAGCTCCATCGCCAGGGCCAAGCAGTCAGGGCCCTGAGGCCCCCAAGCAGTGCAAACATCCATAGCTTCCATGCCTCGAGGAGCGATCTACCGGTTGTCACCGTCATCATAGACGCCGAACGAAAACGCCTCTCAAACGCCTCGAGATTCAGTTTGGGTTTGGGGCTTGGAAAATGAATGTTTGAGTGGACCATTTCACCCACTACCTTTTGTTCCGCCATCTGCGCCGCATCCCCCCATCCGCGTCCGCGCGTGTGAGCGGCGTCCCCGTGGTCCGATCACGCGCTGTCTCGCCGCTCTGACTCGCGCGCCGCTCGCGCGCGCGCGCCGTGCTCTCCGCTGCGGGGCCCCGGGCGTGGCGGGGGGGCTGGGGCGACGGGGGCGTGTCGTGGTGTTGTGGGGCGCGCGGCGACCGTCCGGGATGTGGGTGCCCCCCCCCCCCCCCCCCCACCATCTTCTTCCTGCGCCCTTTGGCCCCGGCCCTGCACATCTTGTGGACCCCTCGCCCTGCCGGCCTGCCGCCCCGCCCCGCCCCGCGCGTGCAGTCTGCCCGCAGACCAGAGCCAGGGACAGAGCCGTGTAATGCTAATCTGGCAGAGGCTGGGGGACACTCTCCAGGGGTGGACTTAACACACATAAGCATGTACATGTGTGCGATGGGCGCGGCCCCAAATTTCTCTGTGACACGGCTCGCGTACGTCCGCGAGCGCGACCGAACGGGCCGCAGGATCGAGTGCATGGTTGCACGCGCCCCAATAAAAACAGCGAGCGGGCCTGCGGGCGCCCCTAGGCCCAGACCTTGAGGGTCGAGTCCCATGAGCCAGTGCAGAGGGCCTGGCCGTCGGACGAGACGCCGAGGCAGGATACGCGGTTGTCGTGCCCGGCGAGCACGCCGATCTGCTTGCCGGTCAGGGTGTCCCACACATAGCAGTTGAAGTCGTCGTATCCGGCGAAGAGGAAGCGGCCAGAGTAGGAGAAGGCGACCGAGGTGATGCCGCATAGGATCTTGTCGTGCGTGTACGTCATCAGCTCGCGGTACGCTCGCAGGTCGTACAGCCGGCACGAGGCGTCATCCGAGCCGGTGCCAAAGACGTTGCCCGCCGGGAAGAAGTCGACGGCGTTGATGTCCGACTCGTGCCCCGAGAAGGTCATCACGGGGCCTGGCGTGGCGACGTCCCAGAGCTTTGCTGTGGCGTCGCATGCGCCAGAGACGAAGAGCCTCGCCTGGCGCGGCGCGATTGAGATCGACATGACGTCGCCTTGGTGGTCGACGTACTGCTGCTGCTGCTGCCCCGTCTCGACATCCCACCGCATGCACGTCATGTCTCCCGAGGCGGTGACGACGGTGGTCTCGTCGAGGAAGCGACAGCAGGAGAGGTAGCCAGTGTGCCCCGCCAGCTCGCGCTGCACCTTGATGGGCTGGTCTTTGCTCGTCGCCGCGACGTTGTAGATCGAGCACGTGTTGTCGAGGCCGCCGCAGGCGATCCGACCCCCCGAAGGGGAGAAGGCGCAGGTCATGACCCACGAGGAGCGCAGCGGGATCGCGTGCACCTTGTTAGCCGTCAACCCGTTCCACACGATGAGCTTCCCGTCCTGCGACGCCGAGACCAGGTGGCGCCGCCGCTCGCCCTCTGTCGTCGGCGCCCAGTGCAGCGCATAAATCTTGGCAAAGTGGCCCTTGAGCACCTTGCGGCACTTGAGGGCGACCTTACCCATCGCCGGCGCCTGAGAGGAGCGTGCCGGACGCACGGTGATTCGAACGCCAGGCTTGCCAGATGGGTAGGGCAGAGGGTTGGTGACTGTGCGGAGCGAGAGCTCCGAGGGCTCATCGTTTTGCCTGATGCGCGGCCATTCCGCCGTCGTCCAGCGCCTGTCGCTTGGCCTTGATGGCCGTCTTAAGCTTCTCGATCTCTTGCTTCGCGGTGGGCGCCATTGGCGCGACGCCTTGCCGGCGAGCCGCCACTCTGGACGGCGAGCCGCCACAAAGTAGGATTCTGTCCGACCAATACGGACACTGCAGGGCCCGCTTTTTTTTTAGCTAGGGTTATGCTAGGGGGACATTGCACACCCGCCGCCCCCGCGCGCGCCCCACCCCGGCCGGGAGAACGGGGAGTGACAGTTTGGGATTGAAAGCCGAGTACCTCGCACTCCATGTTTTTTTATTCCTAGACCCGCCACTTTTTTATCTTCTCACCTGCTGGTCTACATTAACACCCGCAAGGAAACAGACACCGCAAGGAAGAAAAAAATTGCGGCAGCGGAGCAGGCGAAACACAACAGCTGTGGCATGAAGGTTGCAGCGAGAGAATCGGCGAGGGCCTGCGAAGAAAGATAGGAAGAGGCAGAGGCCCAAGGGTGGGCGACGGCTAGCGCACCACACTCTTCTCCTCACGATACCAAAGTTTTAGGTATGTCGATACCAAGGTTGTGCCATTTTCTCTTTTCCTCCGTTAGAATAAAATCCCTGTATGGTGGCGGCAGGCCGTCCTCCCATCCGCCCGTGTTTTTCTTTCTTTCTTTTCGCTGTGGCTAGTACATGCGATGCTAAGGAGGCCTCGAATCATCTTTACAACCCGCGAATGTGCGCAACTAGAGGCCTCGCTCTTCCTGCATCGCAAACGTCATACTCTTCATGGCACATGGGTAGCATCGCGCCTCGCAGCATATGTACAATCAAACAATGCCGTCGAAACAGTCTGTCACAGATGGGCATTGCTGATGATGAGGCTCTGTACGGTGGTGGGTTTTCCTTGTCTGCTGTCGAAAGCATTGAGGCGGAGCTCTATAAGCAGTGTGGCTTGGGTAGTGCTCCGGGTCATATTGATCAGTTCGTAGGGAGCTTGGCAGGACGGTCACTGATGCGGTGGAACTTCGTCTTCCCCTCTCTATTGTGCATTCGATGACCACGCGCAGGCAACTTCGCCGGCCACAATTGCAAGCTTTTGTTGCTTGGCGTTGCAGTCAGTGTATTCAGCGATGCAGGCAGTGACCAATGACCTGCGAGGGCAGACAATCTTGTTTCATATGAGCGAAGCCTGTGCTGGTGAAAGGGATGCTTGGTGAAAGCATGCTTGTGGTGAAAGCTTGTCCTGTGCGGGTTGTGGCCCACATTGTGATGGGAGCGCATGTATGCGCTTATACCTGCAGTATCTTGTGCACACACTGCGCATGAGCCATGCTGAGGGAGGGTGTAGAGGATGTAGAGTGTAGAGCGCTGTAGAGCTGTAGCGCTCTGGAGCGCTGTAGAGCTGTAGAGCTCTACATCCGCCGCGTGACGATGCGCCTCCGTTGTAGAGCGATGTAGAGCGCGATTTTGCTGTAGAGTTTGTTGTAGAGGCTCTACAGCCAAACCGCCGGGAAGGCAGTGACTCAAAGAGGTCGAGCCGCGCTAATGGGGTGTCTCCGAGCTTACTGGAGCTCTGATGGACAGCCCTGACCATCCCTGACACACAGAGAGTCACTCCGACGGCACACAACACCCTATAACTGCGTCATGACCAGCCTGCCATGCGTCGCCGGTGCCGCATTCGTCGCTGTGCTTCTTTAGCAGGCGGTGGACTGTCGGCTGCGAGGACGGTCGCATTTGCGCGAGGCGAGGCGAGCATTGCTGCGCGTTGCATGCGCCATGACTCGCGCCAGCGCGTGCGGGAGCTCCTGGCTGAGCGTTGAGTCCAGGCGAGTTGCGCTGGCCACGATCGCTACGCCGAGCCGAGCTGACGCGCCGAGGCGCCGGCCAGTCGCAGCCGTGAGGCATGCCATAGCAGCAGAGGCACCTGCCACCCATTGGGCGGGCAGACAGAAGGCCAGGGCAGCACTGGCAAGTGCAACGCGCCTCATGTCGGAGAGCGACCGTGCCTCGTTCGCCGCTTATGATGTAGAGTTTGTTGTAGAGATTTCACGTTGTAGAGCGCCTCTACATCGCTCTACAACGCACGCGCATCGTCACGCGGCGGATGTAGAGCTCTACAGCTCTACAGCGCTCCAGAGCGCTCTACATCTCTACAGCTCTACAGCGCTCTACACTCTACATCCTCTACACCCACCCTCCCTCAGGAGCCATGAATGAGAGATGAAAGCTTTTTTCCCACAACGACTGTATCGTCCCAGCATACTTGTGTATACTTGTGTGGTGTGATCGATTGTACATTGATCATTGTAGAAAAGAAGAACACGCTGCCGAGCCCAAATCACTGTGAGACTCGTGTTGGTTGGTTTTTCAAATCTCTCTCTCTCTCCTCTCTACATCGCATTGGTCGCTTACTTTGAGCAAAGAGAAAAAATGAACCCTTACGGCGGAGCAGGAGAAACACAATCAAAAAAACAAAAAAAGGATATTTCGCTTCGGACGCGATATAAGAGGGCTCCCGCGGCGATCAACACCGCAACTCCTTGCGAGGTGGTTGTACACCACCCAAGGTCGCACGGCGACCACGTTTCGGCCGCGCAGCCACTTCATCAAGTTGTCACGGTTGCCGTCGGGGCCGACAAAGGCCACGCGAAAGTCGGTGCCCTTGAGCCACGCCACGCGGTCGCGAAGCGCCTCCCTCGCGCTGCTGGCGAGCGCCTTGGCCGCCTCCTTTGGGCCGTCGTGAGGGAAGTAGATCACGTCGCCTTTGAGCGCGCCGGGGCGCTCGGCACCGTAGTGCGTCGTCACCTTGGCGACCACATGGTAGAGCCGCACATCCGAGACCAGCATGCGCTCGACCTCGGAGAGCGGCGTGAGCTCGCGCACGCGAGCCAGCGACCCGTAGTCGATGCCAGCGGCCAAGGAGAGCTTGGGTGCCTTGGGCTCCTTGTTTCGTGCGTCGGCTTGGTCACCACACCATTGACACAGCATCGCGCACGGCACCATCACGCCATGCTCATTTGCGCGGCGGTCGACGAGTTCGGGGTGCAGGTGGTAGAGCGTGCCGTCGTCCGACTCCCAGCAGCTGATGACGCGCGAGATGTCGGTGTCGCGGAATTCGTGCGTACCGTCGCCGTTGGGACGGTCGTTGCTCGCGCCGTTGGGAAACGCAAGGCGCACCTTTTTGTTTTGAAGACCTCGATACTTAGCGCACTGCTCGGGCGAGAGCTCAAACACGTGCCGCGTCTCGTCTTCGCCGCCGGCTACGCACACAGACACAGTGCGCGGCAGCGCCGACACGTCAACCCGCGTGTACGTCAGCGACGGGTCCCGCACGCCGCACGAGGCGCATGCGTGCAGCGGCAGCGCATGCGCCATGCGCTCGTCGCTCCACTCGCCCAGCAGCCGCCGCTTCGTCTCGTCGGAGACGTGCACGCAGCGCTGCAGCAGCGCCGCCGTCTCGTCCTCGGGCCGCTCCAGGTCCATGACGACGTTCGTCGAGGCGTGAAAGCGCGTCTCCAGGTCGATGGCCGCCTGCTCGGCCGCGGCGAGCTTGCCCTGGTCGACGCACATGCCGCACACCGCGTGCGCCGGGCAGCCGCACTGGCCGCGTTGTGGGCGCACGGTCTTGGCGACCGCCGGCGCTGCGCGCCGGTCGTGCTGCTCACGCTGCCGGCGGCGCTGGTCGCGCGCCTGCCGATCGCGCGTGTTCGCGGCGGCTGCATCTCTTGCTCGTTTCGCTCGCACCCGAGCGGCTGTCGCCAGGCGCTTCAGGTCGGCGGTGCTGCGCGCGCGGCCGTCGGCCAGGCACAGCCACATGTCCTCCTCCTTAGCAGGCTCGCACGGCTTGCCGTCGAACTGCGGCTGGCGCCCGCGACGATGCTTCGCCCAGGCCGGGCACGATGGTGCCGCGACGAGCGGCGTCGAGGCGACGGCCATCGATGGGTCCAGAAGACTTGGAGACACTTCTACCAAAAAATCAAAAAAAATCAAATTGCGTTACATGGGCATGGCCGGGGTTTCTGCACCGAACGATCTTACTTTCGGTCTATCGAAAGTGTTGATCGATAAACAAAGAAAAACAGCCGCCCATCGTAGCCGGCGCCTTGCCTGGGTGGCCTTCATACAGCACTTGATGATTGCCCTCGAAAACAAGGTCACGATGGACGACCTGTCGGCAGCCGCGGACCATGTGCTCGCCTCCTTCGACGAAGGCCTCTCCGAACAGACGCAGCGCGCAATGGCTGGGGCACGCGTCACGGCGTGCGATGACCGGGCGCACGCGGACCGATCCTCTGAGCACGCGATCCTGCGGTTCTCCGCCCTGCGTGCGGATGAGTGCCGCAGGTGGGTGGCTGACGCCACCGACAATGAGCTCACGAGCGTCACGAGTGGGATGCGAGAGCTGCACGGCGCCTGGATGGCGGGGGAGGCGCGCTCAATCAATCTCGAGCTCAACAAGCAGCAGCACGCCGAGGAGGAGGCGCGAGGGATCACCCGTCGTCGGCTGACGCTCCTCGCGTGCGAATCCGACTTTCGTTGCTGGCGCTAGGCGAGCGCGGTTGAGAAGGCGGTCTCCGCGGCGTTGGAGGCGGAGCGGCAGCGGTGCGCCACAGAGGTCGCGGCGCATGACGAGCAGCGAAAGGCGGCCGAGAAAGCGGCCGAAGCGCGCGAGGCGGCGCTGCGTGTTGAGGTTGTGGCGGCAGAGGAGCGTGCGGCAGCGCTCTGCGACGCGGTGCAGGCGCCGCGTCGCCCTTGCGCAGCGCCACCAGCGCAGCGCCACCAGCGCACACTCCCACTCCGGCGCGCCCACGACACGTGTGCGATACATACCCCACGCCACGGCCGCCTGGCCCCTCGCTCCCGATGCATCCGCGGTTCAAAAAGGCGCGCGAACGCGAGGTGGAGGAGATGACGGCGCGGCTGCAAGAGCTCATCCTGTCGCAAAAGATGGCCTCGGAGGAGAAGCTGAGCGGCACTGTGCGCAAACGGTGATCGCCTCTAGCAGTTTCCTGCCTGCTCTCGCTGGGCAGTCCTCCGGCCGTCGCCATCCTCCTCTGTGTCGTCTGCTCCTCCTTGAGCCTCCTCCGGCGCCGACCCGCCCGCTGCTGTCGAGCCACGCCAGCAGCGCCGCCTCGCCGCCTCGCCCAAGAGCGTCCGTGGCCTCTTTGGGAAGGCGCCGGCCGTCATCAAATGAATTTGGAGTATTTTCTGTATTTGTGTAATACTAATAGCGCCGGCGGCAAAGAATTATTTGTTTCGGAAATTCTTCATCAAAACGGCCTGTGGCGTTATATAGGGTGCCCCACCCCCAGCGAGCGCCAGCGTGTGCGCGCCTTTTGTTGTTTGCGAGTTTTGTGTTGTAAAATTCTGTATCATGTAGGAAGTGAATGCAGTCGAGAAGGAAGGCGGCCAATTCGAGCGGCCTTGCGGCGACGCGTGGGGGCTGCTCCGCCGCCTCCGGGCGGGCGGGGGCCGGGCGCCTGAGGCCTGAGGTGCATGGGCGACTTCGTGTGGTACATGTAGGGAGAGAGCAGGGCTCGGGTCTCGTGCGGGCTCACGTGGCGCACGCGTCGCCGCACGCGCCGAGCGGGCGGCCGGGAGGACGAGTGGAAAAGAAATCGGCGTCCGCGCGCAGCTCCGGTGGGGGTTCGGGAAACGGGAAGGGGGTCGGCGAGATCCTCTGGAAGGCGGCGAACGTGCCGCAGAACAAGCTGCCGCGGGCCCAGTTACCTCGATGAGGTGACTTGGACCACCAAGAGTTGAGCACTTTGAGCGCACTGGATAGGGTCGATTCCGCATGGTACGGGACCCCTCGATCGTCTCGCCCTCCCTCTCTGGTGTGTTCATTGGGGGGGCAGAGAGATTTTTAGCAATACCAAACAACTCTAACACTCACACGTCATTTGTGTTTGTTCCCTCAGTGGGGTGGGTCATAACAAACACGGTACAGGATCGAGGTGCACGCGGCTAGGGCTGCAGAGCAGCGTATCTCGGTCGTTCTTCACACGGCAATCGCAGAGCAGATTGTGAATGCGCTTGCCTGCGGCGAGGGCGGTCGGGTGCGGCACGGAGCTAAGTGCCTCGCCGTCCTCGCAGGAGTCGCTTAGGCGGCTCCCGTGGTGTACCTGTGTTAGTGCCAGTGCGCGCCAGAAAGAAAGAAATAAAACACAGGCACGCCGCCACCACACAGGGATTTTAAGGAGAGGGGTGTGTGCGCGCCGGCCGAAAAATCTTTACCACCCAAGACAGCTTGGAGAGCTCCCGGTAAGGCTACATTTCGTAACGATGGTCGCTAAACGACACGCTATTGGCCATCTGCCTCCTGCAGCCTCTGTTGGGGCGGAATGCGCGGGGTTTTCGGCGCGATGCCTCCGGCTAGTACACGGTACTGCTCTGCCGCAAACTCTCCTGCGCTCGCGTGACGTGTGGGGCGCACGCACTGCGCTCGAAAGTCGCGATTTGGCAATAGGCGCTCGAGCCGGCGCGCAGTGGAGGGGGCGCCGCGCAGGGGGGTCGGGGGGGTGCGAGAGGGGGCGTGGGTCGGGCGCGCACCGGCCGGCTCCGGGAGCGGCCGTCACGTCGAAGAGGGGACCTGGTGCTGCTCGAATGACGACGCATGCCGCTCTGCTGCGCCGCCGATAGCCCCTCTTCCGAGCCGGCGCGTGGCGGCGAGCCGCGGCCAGTATCGCTGGTGCGGTGGAGGCGGCAGCTTGCATCGGCCGGCAGCGGGTGCGGCCATCACGTCGATGAGGGGGGGTTGTCGGCGACTCGTGTGGCTCGAGGCCTACGCTGCGCCGCCCAAGCCCTACTGCCGATCCAGCGCCTGGCGTTTGGGGCGAGCCGCGGTCGTCGTCGCTGATGGTATATGGCGGCGGCGGCGGCGGCTCGCCCTTCCCTCCGGCCGCAATTCCGATCCCGCCGCGCTCGCGGGAGGTGGCGCGCCCACCGCAACACGGCCGTGGCTGCGCATACACCTTACGCCCTTTCTCCTCAACGGCTATCCGTGCTTGCTGTGCCCCTGCGTGGTGTGTTTCAAGTTCTTACAACCCAAGGTGATAGAGGGCAAAAAGATCGATTGCGCTCTTGCCGATCCGCACCTACCTAGGCTCTTGGCTGGCGCGCCCCAGCTCTTCACAACGGGCTGGTTTTACTTCAAGGCGGCGTTCTGCAGCATCAACAACTCGCCGCGGCACGCCGCGCCGTGTCAGGAACTCAGATGGGAAGCGAGCACAGCGTCTTCCTTCCGCCGTGGGAGGCGGAGACCGAGGCGGAGAAGGCGCGCGCCGACGACTTTCGCGCCGCCGTCAAGTCGCTCTCCAACTCGACGGCAAACTTCCTCGTGCCGCACGTGCTAAGCTCTGACCCAGCATTCACGTGGGACTGGGTAGAGCACCGGCCGTTCGCAGAGGCGGCGTACCAGAGCGACGAGCGTCTGACGAAGCTAATACCTCGCCTCGTCCCTTCCCGGTAAGCACGGCTCTGTCCCCGCTCGCGCGGGCCGCATTCCCTGCGGCAGCCACATTCGTACAAACTTCTCCACGCCAGCGCACATTGAGGGCAGACAGAGCGCTGGCCGCAAGACCGCATCTGCGCCGCACACCATACTACACAAACACTCGCAGACCCGCGGCGACTCACTCCACGCGCCGCCGGCCCCTCCGCAGCATCTCTGAGGAGGACTTTTGGCGAAACTACTTTTCGCACGTCTTTGCTGTCAAGCGCCGCTTCGAGGCCGAGGCTGCGGCGCCCGAACCGAGCGACGTTGCGCCGAGCTGCAGCAGCGCGGCAAGCGGCGCTGGCGTGCGGACCGCGGCGCCGCAGCCTCCTGCCATGCTCAAGTCGGCGTCGTCGCTCGCAACGGTGATTTCTTGACGCCACATGCAGCGCTGCTGCCGGCGGCGGAGTCGCCACCGCGGCTAGCCTCGTGGACCACATAGGTCTCGTACCCTGAAAAGTTCCACCTGGCGGTGCACTATGCCAATCACGGGCCACCGCTGCCAAGCCTGAGCGACGCGGACCGCATCTTGCTCGAGGCGCTTCAGATGCAGGCAGACCCCCCCCCCCCTTTTCCCCCCCCCCCCCCCCCTTTGGACCTGGGCCAAATTTTCTTTGCCCCGAGGACCCTTTTAAGTATTTTTGGGGAGACCCCAAGGCCTTGGAAGGGGGGGCCCCCACCCCCCCCCCCCCCCCCCCCCCGGGGGGGAGAAGCGCCGCGGAGGGGATGCATCTGTACGTCCAAGCGATGGAGGTTTTCAACGCGCAGTGGCTCGAGTGGATCAGCCAGAACGGGGTGCACGTCGAGAACGGGGCGCAGCAGCCGGCAGCGGGGGAGCTGCCCAAGGCGTTGAGGGTGTCGAACGGCGTCGCTCCGCACACCGGCGGCGCAAACGGCATCGGCGCGAGGCAGGGCGCCGTGCCAAAGCCGGTGCGTGGATCGCCGGCGCAGCCATCACGCCGGCGCCACGCCGAAAACAGGCTCGCATTGCGCGACAGTCCTCCTCCCCCCCCCCCCCCCCCTCCCCGCGTTGCCGAGCAGGTGGCCGCCGCTCTCACCGCGGTGCGCGAGCTGCAGAAGAGCGTGGCGACGCTGTCGCCCGAGCATCTGCAGATGGTCCGCGCTGAGTGCGACGCGCTCTCGCGGGCGCTGCAGGAGCGCGGCGTGTAGTGCCTCTTCGCACAGGGACGTTACGATTGTGATATTTACCCACGCGACGTGCGCGGCGCATCGATTCGCATTGAGTTTCGGAGTGGAGAGAAGAGGCGTGTGAGGTAGAGGCGAGCGCCGCGGGCTCTCTCGAACATAATCAAAAAGCCAGGCTGCGCCCTCCCTTCTTGTGTGTGGGGGGAGGGGGGGGTCGGGGGGGCGGGTTCTACAATATCAAGAGTTTTACCGCCACCGACGGGCGAAACCTAAAAACTTTTACCCGGAGCCGACGATCGGAAGCACGCACGAATATGCTGCTGGTGGCCGCCATTGCGGTGGCCGCCACCCTGTCGCCGTCCGCCTCGGTGTCGGATAACGTGGTGGTCATCACGCACAGCCACGATCACGCGCACGACGGCATCGCCAGCCACGCTCATGAGCACGTGCACCGGATTTCAGATTCGTCGACGCACACCATCGTACATGCGGACACCCACCACTCACCACCTTTCTCTCCACCTCCGCCGGCACCGCCGCCGCCCTCTCCACCCTCGCCGGTACCGCCGCCACCCTCGCCGCCACCGCCCATGCCGCCGCCACCCTCGCCACCGCCGCCCGCGCCGCCACCGCCCGCGCCGCCGCCACCCTAGCCGCGCTACCTTCGCCCACCTACCGCTCTCGCATGACATCTCGACAATCCTCATATCTCCAGGCCCAAGACTCCTAACCACTGCCCCTGCTCGCCCAGGACCACGAAGCGCCGCCCGCGCCCATTGACCCCCCAATCAGCCTCGACAATCAGCCCTCTTGCTGTCCCTCAATCCCCACCCGCCAGATGTACTGCCCTCGCCCACCCAATACTCTCACCCTCCTGACCCGGACAGTCCAGGTACAGGAAAAGCGGGGAGCGGGGCCCGATCCAAGGAGCACCCCGTCGGCCCGGGAGGGCTGTGAATTTCGGCGCGAGCGGAAGGCTGCCTGCAGACGCTCAGCCCCCGGCTGAGCTGCCGAATCCTCCCGGCTAATCCCCTGACCTGCCGCCTGAAACGGGACGACATTACACCACCTCACACACACTCCCCCCTCAGGGCTAAGCAGTGCGCAAGTCCACCCGAACTCTAGGCGAGGCGTCGACCACTCCTTCGGAATAGCTCTGTCAGTGGCTGCACTAGACGCCCAGAGATGGCGCGCGGCGCGGGCGGATGACTGGAAGAGAAAATGCGGAGAGGCTAGCTCGCAGGTAGATGTGCTCAGCCAAGGGTAGGGGATGAGGGGAATGTGTCAGTGTGGGGGGTGCACCAACCGCAGAGCGTTGTGTTTTGCCTTTAAGACTTGAACAGTTTTTTTCCCTCTCTCTCCGCACGAGACACGACACTGCCGACACTGGCACGGGCGACTGGCGCGCACTGGCACTAAGACAGGTGCACGCTCACGAAACTCACGAGGCGCACAGCGCGCTCAAATGCGACCCGTGTTGGAAAGAATTCGCGAAGCCCGCGAAGCTCACAAGAATTCAACCCAAGTGAACGCAAGAGGATGCGCGGTGATCCTCCAGCTAACTACCCCGGCGCCCACGTCTCGATCTTCTTGGGCAGCAGCTGGTTGGACAGGTCCTCTCCGTGGCCTAGGCAGCCGCCCTCGCCCTTGCCCCAGGTAAAGACGGCGTTGTCGGCGGTAATGGCGAGACTGTGCGCGAGCCCAGCCGACACAGCGAGGACGCGCTGGTCAGCAAACGCCTCAACCTTCTTGGGCAGCAGCTGGTTCTGCTGGTCGCCGTGGCCCAACCGGCCCTCATCTCCCCCGCCCCAGCTCCAGACGGCGCCGTCGGCGGTGATGGCGAGGCTGTGGCTGCTTCCAGCCGACACAGCGACGACACGCTGACCGGCCAACGCCTCGACCTTCTTCGGCAGGAACTGGTTCTGCGAGTCACCGTGGCCCAACTTACCAAGGCCTCCATAGCCCCAGCTCCAGACGGCGCCGTCGGCGGTGTGGGCGATGCTGTGGTACGCTCCGGCCGACACAGCGACGACGCGCTTCCCCGCCAAGGCCTCGACCTTCTTTGGCAGCAGATGGTGCTGCCCGCCGCCATGGCCCAGCTGGCCCCAGCCTCCACCGCCCCAGCTCCAGAGGGCGCCGTCGGCGGTGAGGGCGATGCTGTGGATGGCTCCAGCCGACACAGCGACGACGCGCTGGCCACCCAAGGCCTCGATCTTCTTCGGCAGCAGCTTGGTTTGCTCGTCGCCGTGGCCCAGGCGGCCAAGGCCTCCACAGCCCCAGCTCCAGACGGCGCCGTTGGCGGTGAGGGCGAGGCTATGCGCGGCTCCAGCCGACACAGCGACGGTGCGCTGGCGAGCCAAGGCCTCGACCTTCTTCGGCAGCAGCTGCTCCTGCTCGTCGCCGTGGCCCAGCCGGCCGTGGAGACCAAAGCCCCAGCTCCAGACAGCGCCGTCGGCGGCGAGGGCCCAGCTGTGCAGACCTCCAGCCGACACGCTCACGGCGCGCTCGCCGCCCAGCGGGAAAGGGAGGCGGGTCGGCGTGTTGAGCTGCGTCACCCCCTCGCCGTGCCCGAGCAGTCCTGGCCTCCAGCTCTCAGCCGTTCCGCACGACGAGAGCCGCCCCTCGCCGTCGATGAAGACGCTGTGCCGTTCGCCTGCCAACGCCCTCGCCGGCAGGTTGGACTCGCACAGCAGCGCAGAATAGCACAGCCACCGCACGGCGCAGCTCTCGCCCTCTGGCTGCGCCGGCGGCTCGTAGCCGGCCTCTTGCAGGCGCAAGCGGATGCCCTCCAGCGCAAGCGAGGCGTGGAAGAGCAGCGAGACGGCCGCGACGCGAGCGATGTCGGCGGGGTCGCAGCGGGAGATGACGCGCGCGAGGAGGTCCGTGGGGAGGTCGAGGAGGCGGATGGGCGGCGGCGTGTCTGGCGAGGGAGCGGCTGCGGAGGCGAGGCGGCGCGAGCGGCGCCGCGGAGCGGGCATCGCAGGAATTTATTTTCTTTCCACAAAAGGGCGCGGCAAGTCTCCCCGGACCAGAAGGCTTTCCAAGCCGGAAAACTCATCGTCGAGAACACACAGCTCGTGCAAGATTACATCGCATGGGCGGATGAGCTCATGGAGGGGGGGTTTCTACTCTTTTGCGATCAGGACAATGCGTACCCGCGAGTGCAATGGGACTTTATGCACCAGGTGATGCAATCGATGGGTATTCACGAGGACTTCAGGCGAATGGTAGAAATACTATACGAGAACAGCGAGTACAAAGTCAAGGTCAACTCGCACATTGGAGGGGCGTTCAGACCGACAAACGGAGTGTCACAAGGAGGCCCGCTATCCCCCATTCTGTACCTTTTGGTGATACAGAGCTTCCTCTCCCTCATCAGCACAACCGACACTCTCCAGGGAGTGGAAATTCCCGGGACGGGAGGCGACGACCAACTGCGCCACACCCTAAAAGTGCTAGGGTTCGCCGACGATTTGATCATATTCCTACGAAACACCGGCCAGCTCAATGAATTCAAACGACTGCTAAATATCTACGAGGACGGGTCGGGCGCGCTGAACTCATGGTCTAAGACTTTTGGCATGAGGGTCGGGTCGCTCCGGGACTCGACCGACCTGCCGCAGGGGTGGGAGGAGAGACGCGACATCAACACAACGAGCCCGCTCATCCGATATCTCGGCATTTTTCTCGGCGCCCCAGAGAGGATAGCCCGCAAGTGGGAGGAGACTGTGACGGCAAAGATGGAGAAGCGGTATGAGCGATGGGTGGGACGAGGCATGCCTCGCTCAAGACGGGGCCGAAATATAGTCATCAAGAATCACGTGCAATCCTGTGCGTGGTACCTGGTGCAGTCGCAGACGCCGCCCAACCTACCCCAAATGCTCGAGAAATGGCAGCGGTACGCGTGGAATTTCTTTGAGGCGCCGGCAAACGCGGAGGGCCTACACCAGGCACGCCGACACGCGGTAAAACGCGAGACGCTCATCCAAGAGCGACCCGAGGGCGGACAACACTGCCAGGACATCGAGATATTCACACGCAGCTTATACCAGCGCCAGGTGAGCCGCCTGGTCACGCCGTCGTCACACAAAGGCGTGAATATAGTGGCGTCCTACGTCAATCGAGCATACGGGCACCTCCGCATGGGGCGACGGCTCTTCCACTCCTCGTGCGATTTTCTCAATCTCCCCGATACGATGCCCGCCTACTGGCGCATCGCACTCAAGACGCATGGCACTCTGAGAGGACTGGTACCGTACGATGGTGAGGACGCCGCACAGAAAGACCACACACCTGAAGTCACGTACCGACAGGCGAGGGCGGGCGTACCGAGGACAGTGCGAGTGGGGGGGCTTTGGTCGATCGGACGCGTGTTAATGGAGCCGCTATTCTACAACCCACACCTGTCGGGCTGGTGGGGCGCAGCGGTACTCGACAGCCCGGACTGGGAGCGACTGGCCAGAGACAAGAAACCGAAACCCAAACTCTGCCGGTGGACCAATGAAAGAGAGGAAGACGCACGGGAGGTCTACGAGCGATCGGTGCGATTCGCAGAAGTCGGGGTAACACACGTAGTGCACCTCCTTGGCGGGGACGGCCTGCCAATGGCCTGGCGCGAGTTTAGGAGAAGCTGCCACCCAAACCCGCCCTGCGACCAACACGAATACAGCCGATTAATTGAAAGCCTGCCAGAGGCGTGGCTAATCACCCTCCGAGACGCCGTTCTCAATCGCCCTCGCCCAATAGATTGGCAGGAATGCGTGCGAACGAGCGACCTGCCTGGGAATGCATGGACATGCATGAATGATAACGGGCAGGGCAGGCGATGGGTCGCACCCACACAAGGTGAGGCACCGGTCTTCGAATGGATGGAAACCGGAGAGCTCAGGGCAACAACGCAAGATGAGACCGGAGCGCCGAGCCTCGCAACGGTGAGGGAAAGAGGCGCGGGCGGATGGTGCGAAGTGGAGGTATGGGAGGACGGTGGACAATCCTCTGCGAGCGTCACACGCGAGGAGTGGGGGCCGGAGTCGCGCCGAGCCCGGGCAGAAAAGGGGGCGCCACGGAAACTCAAGAGGTTGGTGTGCGGCGGACCGGTGATAAGGGCGGCCCTCATGCAGCGGGCCGCCACGACCAGCGAAGGATGGGAGATTGCGGCTAGCCCATCCAGGTGGGCAGTGCAGTACGCGCCTACCACGCGAGTGCGCGCCGCGGTGCCGCTGGTGAAACTGGCCGTCAAGCACCTCGCATCGCTACACCTCTCACGGGTCTACCGACCGATGCGTACCCTTGACCCATCCCGCCCGCCGGACGATGCAACGGCCACGACGCGCTTCTATGATCTATTGGCTCATACCGAACGAGAAGGGCGCGCGATCCAAGACGACACGAACCGAGAGTGGGAAATCGAGTACATCTTGGCGCAGCGCACAAACATCGAGCGAGGGGAGCCGGAGTACAAGGTGCGATGGCGGGACGCATCCGAGGAGAAGGATGAGTGGCTAGCGCAGGAGGCAGTCGCTGGCCCACTCCTAGACGCCTTTACCGCCGCATTGGGCCCCTCCGACGGCAGCGACGTAGGTGGGGACGGAGGCAGAGATGAGCCAAGTGACGGCGAGGGCGACAGTGACGATGGCGACGGCGACGGGGGGGGAGAGGGGAATGGCGAGAGCACAGCCTCTGATGAACGAAAGATAGCGCGGTCTATCTTCCGCTCTATCCACGACAGGTCCCTATCACGGCCGACGTCAGACACGGCGTACTCAGTGTTGACTGATGCGCTACCGGTTGGACCGCGACGATGTAAGAAGCCACGTCGACGGGGGCTGTGCGACCTGTGCGGCCTACTGGGCGGCGTGAGAGCAATCGAAACGACACGCCACCTCGCCCTCGAATGTCCATACACCACACTGACCCTCGAGGCGGTACTCCGCGCAGTCCTGGAAAGCACGACCCTGGATGAAGCCGTGCTAGAGGAGGTACGGGGCATGGGGAGGGAGCAGCTAGTCCACGAATACCGCCGCCTCTGCATCACCGGGTTCCGTCTGACCACGGGCAGAGGACAAATGGCTGAGGGGCGCATTGGGGCGACGCCGACTCGCGTTATTATGCTTGAGACACTTGCAGGCATCCTCCGACGGCGCCACCGGAACGCCCTCCTCGCGCTGGAAGACACACCGGACGTGCGAGTTGACACGATCTACAACGAGGCGCGCCGAGCCCTAATCCGGACTTACGCCCACACCCGCCGCCGAGCTCTCGACGAGGAGAAGGCGATTCGCCTCCGAATCCCGGGCTGGCAGCCGTCGCCAGGGGAGGGGCCTGTTGCGGAGTGGGAGACGGAGTGGCTCGCCTCAGGATTCTTTTCCAGCGAAGGTGAGTGCGAGCTCCCCGAGACGCTCGAATCTGTCCGAGGGGTGGCGGCAAACGGCTGCGCGGTGAGCACAGTCGCACTCCTCTGTGTAGCGCCTCAGGGTGAAGGGGGGGCATGCCGGGTCAAGCTGAGACTAATGGTCGAGGCACCAGGGGTCGTTCTTCGCCCACAGCAGCAACTGGCAGAGCAGGCGCAACGACGCCCGCCCGACTGGGTGGCATACACAGACGGGTCGGAAGACCTAGGGAAAGCAGGGTGGGCCTATACAGTACTCATCGGGGGCGACGCAATCGGCGATAGGGGCGCGTCGCTGGCGAGCGAGGGCTACGGGCCAGTTGTCACTTCGGCGGCGCACCCAGCCTACCTCGGCGCGCGCAGGCATACCAACAACACGGCGGAACTAACCGCCCTAGCCGAGCTCCTCCGGGCTCTCCTGTCCTCGTCACCGCAACGAGCGGGCTCACGCGGAGTAGTGCGGACCGACAGCGAGTACGCGGCGGCGTGCATGATGGGGAGGGTGACCCCCAAAACGAACAGACAGCTAGCGGAGCGCCTTCGTTCCCTCTGGCGACGCCTTCGCGCCAAACACACCGTGACGTGGAGGCATGTGGCGGGTCACAGCGGCAACAAATGGAACGACTACGTCGACGAGCTAGCTGCTCGCGGCAGGCAAGGTGACAGAGGCTCAAACGCTGCCGAGTGGGCAGACAACACCATCCCGACGGACACTCCCGACGAGGGGAGCGACACGGAAGGACCCGCCCCCGCCCCTCGGGGCGGGGGCCCCCGCCCCCCCGGGGGGGGCCCTTTGGGGCCCCTCCAGGGGGCGACCCCTCCGGGGAGGCCGGCCTTCCCCGTGCCGGTTCTCCCCAACCAACCCCGCCGGCAGCGCGAGCTGCCGGCCATATTGAGCGGTTCAACCGCGTCGCGCACTCGTCCCAACCGAGAGCCGCAGACTCGTTCTGCGCGCCAACGGCTGGTGACGCTGTGTTGCCCTTGAGCTAGTCCTTCCCCGGTCGCCTAGCCTCTGCGCTGTCTGGCGGACGCCTGTATGCCATGCACGCGGACCACGCTTGCGTGGATACGTGGCTGGCAGGCTGACCCGTGTGCGGGGTAACCCGCGCACGGGGAAGCTTCACGGGTTCGAGCCGTCAAACATTGAGCAGCGGAGGTGTGCCGAGGGGGACCGGGAGGCGGTAAGCCGTCGTCGCCCGGCGCTGCATGCAGCACCGTGGCGATGGCGCTAAGAGGTTCCTCTTTTCCGCGCCCCCCCCCGCAAGGCGCGCGATACACAAGTGGTCTCCGTCGGGAGCGACGGCAGCGGCGGTGGCGGGGGAGGAGGAGGAGGCCGAGGAGGAGGGGGAGGAGGGGGAGGAGGAGGATGCCCCCAAGGGAAAGCTCAAGGAGCTGCCTGGCGATTACCCCTTTGCGCGGCAGCAGGATTGCGATCTACGTTTGTTTGATTTTGAGGCTTTCGGAGGCTTTGGAAAGGAGGTTCGCAGCACCCTGAGGGAGGCGGCGAACCAGCTGAGCAACAAACTTTCGCACGCTCAGCACCTGGACGAGGTCACATGGACCACCAAGAACTGGCACGGGCTGCAGATGCAGCGCTTGTCTGTCGTCCTCCACACCGCCGTGGCGTGGCAGACGGTGAACGAGCTAGCGTGCGGGGAGAGCGGCATTGTGCATGGTGCGGAGTGCATTGCCGTTCTTAACGGAGTCGCTTAGGCGGCTCCGGTGGTGAGCCTGTGTGTGTGCCAGTCCGCGCCAGTCCGCGCCCTTGTCGTGCCAGTGTGCTGTGAGAGAGGCTTGTATCTTAAGAATTCTTTCCACAAGCAGGCGCCTCCTATCTCTCTTCGCAGTCTCTCGCCGATTCTCGCTGCAACCTTCATGCCACCTCGCGGTCGTCCCACTCTCGTCGTTCTCTCTCTTGTCGCTTCTTCCTCTGTCGCGTCGCTCTCCTCTGCGGCCTCGTCCTGCGACTGCGCCGCCGCCTCCCGCTCCCTTAAAAGCTGCTCGCAAGGGTAAGTTTTCTAACCGAGCTTGGACTTGTCGTACGAGACGAGCATGTTTTTGGTCTGGCGGTAGTGGTTGAGCATCATCTTGTGCGCCACGCAGTTTTCAGCTCCGTGAACGGTGTCCCCGCTTGCTTTTGACAGCGTGGGCGTGGCTGCTGCCCACTTCCTCCGAATGGCCTTCCGCGCGCACGTGCTCGCCGACTTCGATGCGGAGGCGGAGGGTGAGCTTTCGGTGTCGCGCGGTCAGTTTGTCCATGTCTGCGCCGAGGAGGCGCCCGAAGGCTGGTGCATCATCGAGGCCGATGGCGGCCGAGGCAGCCTCCACCGCCCACGCCGCCCCACGCACACACCCGGCCTGCCCCATCGACGCGCGTCGCTCCTCCTCCCCCGACCCTCGCTCTTGCCACCTCTCGAGGTCTCGTCCCGTGGTACTTCCTCGTTTCGGCGGCGCACGCTGAGGTGGACGCGGCAGAGGCAACGGCCGCGGCGGCGGCGCTCGCTTCCAGCGACGACGACTACGACCTCGACCCCGACCGTGGCCACACGCTGCGGCGGCCAGTGGCGGCAGCAGATGCGGCGGACGCCGGCTGCGGCGCATACGGCCTCAAGGACGTGCCCGAGGGTGGCTTCGTGACGGAGGTGCGGGCAATGCGCGGCACTGCCGGCCTCGGCCTCGATCTCGACAACCAGAACATCGTGCGGCGCATCTCGCCCGGGTCGATGGCGGAGCAGCAAGGCGCGCGCGCTCATCCGCTCGCCGGAGTGATGTCGCCCCCAAACCGCTCACCCCGCTCGCCGGAGTGATGTCGCCCCCAAACCGCCCCGCTCATGAAGCACTACTGCTGCCGCAACCTTGTTTGGGCCTCTGGCCGAAGCCGTCGTACGTAAAGGACGGGTCCCCTGCTTGCGCTGCGTAGGCTTGCTGCACGTCGGCGACGTCATCCTCGAGGTGAAGGGAACCCCCCCTTCGTGCCCCCCCCCCTCACCGGCCCTTGCGCCACTCCGAGGGCGGGGTTTGCGAGCGGCTGGGCGGCCGAAGAGCCGCAGCGCTCTCAGAGCCAAAGGGGAGCGCGGCTCTGACCACCCTCCGGAGCAGACACGCTGGTTCTCTGTCTCAGCCTGGCTTCCGCCCTGTCCCTGGCTTGACCCAACCCGCACCCGCACCCGCACCCGCACCCGCACCCCCACTCGTTGAGCCCGCCGCTGCCCGTGTGGGAGACTGGGAGCACCACATATGATGCCACATGCCGTAAGCGGCGGCACAGCAGCGGCCGCCTTCGCAACCGCCACTGCACGGCCCTTCAGCCGCCACCAGCCCGTGGCGGCGTGGCGGAGGCCGCACCCGCCTGTCGTGCGCCTCGCCTAGGTGGGAATTCTTTTTTTCCTCCCCTAGGTGGACGGCCAGACTCTGCGTGGCGGTGTCGCCAATGGAGGCCAGTCGGTTCCACAGGTCATGCTCCCTGGCCCTCGACGCCCTCTACGCTCGCTGGTCCACCGCCCATCACGAGAGCTCGCCCTGTTTACGCACTGCTCCCCGGCAGAGGACGAGAGCTCGCCTCTCTACACCTACAGCTCTAGATCACGAGAGCTCGCCTCTCTACACCTACAGCTCCAGATCACGAGAGCTCGCCCTCTACACAGGTCATGGCCCCGGGGCAGCCAGCATACCGCTTCAAGATCTACCGGCCCCCGTTTGACGAGTCGCGGCAGGCTGCCCTCTCCAAGGACATCATGTCGACGCAGCGGCTGCAAGCCATCGCGGACGGCGAGACGATGGCGCGCGGCGCGTCGCCCAAGACCAACTATGTCTCGCACGGCGGGCGGCTAGGTCTCCCCCCCCACCCCCTCCACCCCCACCCCTACCTTACGCCTACGCCCCCACCGATGCCTGTACAGCTGTCCCCGCACGCTCCTCTGTGAGCCGCTCCTCTCCCCCACTAGGTGTCCGCCGACAGGCGCTCGCGCGCACGCGCGGCCACCAATCGGCCGATGGACCAGCTCAAGGCGTGGTCCATCTCCGACATCCAAGACACGCTGCGGAGGAACGTGGCCGCCGGCCCAGCAAAGGCGGCGGCGGCGAAGCAGATGCCTGGCGGCTTTGGCATCGGCGCCGTTCCCGCACCCGGGGTCGAGCGACCCGCAGGGAGCGCGAGAGCGGGCGCGATGGCGCGGGCCGAGGCCCACAAGGCGCCGGCGGGCACTGTGCTCCTCGGCCCGACCCTGGAGCAGAAGGAGCGCACGGGCAGCGACGCGACGCCGCACGGTGAGGGTCCCACGCTAAGCGGTCGCACGCAAGCGGTCGCACGCAAGCGGTCCCACGCAAGCACCACGGCAAGAGCCAAGCAAGCCAGTCCCTCACACGCGCCGGGGCGACAACGCGTGCACGCCAACACTGCTCTCCGCCCTCTTCTCCGCCTGACGCCGCCGCCGCCCGACACTGCAGGCGGCGTGGAGGAGGACGACCTCTTTGGGCAGATCGATGCGGTGGTGTCGGCACAGTCGTCGGGCGGCGCGACGGCCGCCAACCTCGCCACCGCTTCAGCAGACGCCGATTCCGGTCTTCGCGCCATCGCGGGAGAGGCGCCCGAGCTAGAGCGCCCGGCAGTCGGTGCGGACGGAGGAGGCGGCGGCGGCGGCGGCGGCGGCGGCGGCGGCGGCGACAGCGACGACAAGCCGATCGCCGCCATCACGGGCGGCACGGTGCCGGCGTGGGTCTTTAACGAGTACACGGCAGCGGCAGACCGCTCCCCCGGGGAGGTCGAGACGGCCCAGCTCAACCGGCCAAAGGCGCCGGGCCGCGCCAAGTCCAAGCTGGCGCCCCCGAGCGCTGCGGCCGCGGCGGGGCCCGCCGCGCCGCCGCCCGCCCGCCCGCCGCCCGCGCAGTCCGAGCCGGCGCTGCAGAAGAAGAAGAGCTGGATCGGCGGCCGCAAGACGGCTGCGTCGCCTGCCAAGGGTGCCGCGACCCCCCAGTGGGTCCCCGAGGGGGGGGCGCCTGCTGCGGAGCGCCCAAAGTGGAAGCCGCCGCCCAAAGACCAGAACGCCAACGTGCCCAACCCGGTGCGCATGGTGACGGGTGCGTCGGCCACCCCGCCGAACAAGGGCGGGCGGCCCGCCGGCAACGTCCGGGCGCCCCCCGAGCCGCCCGACTACGTCGCCACGATGCGCATGGAAGACATGCTGCGCGAGGCGGCGGCAGCGGCGCCGGCCGAGGCGAGGATGGAGAGGGGGGCAGAGAGGGCGGGAAGATGCACCGCCGTCCCCGCCACCGTCCGCGCCTCCGCCGCCGCACCAGCCACCACCCTCTCCGCCACCACCATCCCCACCACCGCCGTCTCCACCTCCACCAAGTCCTCCGCCCTTACCTCCACCTCCCTCTCCGCCACCACCAGCTCCGTCGCCGTCCCCCCCGCCCCCGCCCTCTCCGCCACCACGCCCGCATGACCTCTCCCAGCGGCGCCGGCCGAGGCGAGGATGGAGAGGGGGGCACAGAGGGCGGGACCTCCCCCACCCCACCATGAGCCCCAGCCCTTTGTATCATTGCGACCATGCTCAGCCCCAGACCTGGCTCTTGGCTGTGGTTGCCGGGTTGGGGTGAGGGGTGGGAGGGAGAAGAACGCGCGCCCGCGCATGACCTCTCCCAGCCATGCTCCGCAGGCGGCCGAGTTCCAAGCGGTGCTCGCAAAGTACGAGGGGCACCCGGGCGTGCAGCGCAAGTTGGCGCAGGAGGAAGCGGGCGCGCGACAGCGCAACCTCGAGCTGAACCGCCCCGCCTACTTCGAGTTGCGCAGCCGCATCCCCGACAAGGCCTCCGCTAGAAGCGGCGTACAGCGGGATATGTGTGATACACGTGCGGCTCAACACGCACTCTTGTATCCCAAGTCGCACTCGAGAGGAGACGCATCCAGCTGTCTTCCACCGTATCTCCCCATATCTCCCCATATCTCCCCATATCTCCCCATATCTCGCTGTCTTCCGCTGTGCTCTCGGCTGCATCCGCGTATGCGCAGCCCTCGTATTCACGCGGTGCTCCGACATCTCTGCACCAGACCGGACCCGTACTCCCACCCTCACCCTGGTTGTGCTCATGACCTCACCAGGTCGGCTGCCCATATCTCCCCATATCTCACCATATCCCACCATATCTCACCAGGTCGGCTTGGTGGAGCCCAAGGACCAAAAGGGGCTCGAGAAGGTTGGCTGCTCGCCCGAGCTGGCGCGGGCGATCCTAGACCGGCCGGCGCTGCGCATGCTCCGCGCCACGCGCGCGCAGCTCGACATTGCAAAGGCGGCCGTCCTCAAGCCGCTCCAGATCGACGGCACTCTGACGGAGCTAGAGGCGCGCGCGGTGGCCTACGCGCTGCCAGAGGCGCCGTACGACCGCAACTCGCCAGAGGGGCTGCAGCGCGAGGCGTGGCGCATCTCGAACAAACAGTCGTTCGAGGCGCTCGAGGCATCGGGCGGCTTCGCCGCCGCCGCGCCCGCCGCCGCCGCGCCGCCGCTGCAGAAGAAGTCGTCTTCGTCGACGGGGTTCAAGCTCAACCTGAGCGCCGTGAACAAGCCGGCGGTGGGGAGCGGCAAGCCGGTGGCGGTGCCCCACACGCCAAAGGACCAGGTGGTTGCCGCTCTTGACAGCCGGCCGCCCGTGGCCAATGGCGACACCACGATCTTGCCGGGCGGCACACAGCCAGCCGCGCCGTGGGCGGGCGATGGTGGCGAGGCGTCAGCCACGCTAGCGAAGCGGCGGCGGAGCGATGAGAAGGCGCGCGCAAAGGCTCTCGCCAGCCGGACGGCGGATGAGTCGGCGTACGGCGGCGTGGAGCTCGAGGAGAAGCTCGGGCAGGGCATGGGAGCCTAGAAGCGGGGAGATATGGGGAGATATGGGGAGATATGGGGAGATATGGGCATGGGAGCCTAGAAGCGGGGAGATACGGGGAGATATGGGGAGATATGGGGAGATATGGGCATGGGAGCCTAGAAGCGGAAGACAGACTCATCTATCCCCACCAGCGCTCGAGAGGACACGGACTCCGCTGTATTCGGCCGTCCTCCGCTGTATTCACCGTATTCGTAGCCCCTCGTACTGACGCGGTGCTCTGAATACTCCGCACGAGACCGTCTTCCCGCCCTGACTTCGGTGCGTCCGCGACGTAGGCTCTGCGCTCGACGTCATGGAGCGGCAGGGCGCGCCCCTCAGCGAGGCGGAGGCGGCGTTGGTGCTCCGCGAGGCTCCCCCGCCACGTGCGTGCAGCTCTCCCGCCCCTCCCGCTCCAAGCCTCCCGCCGCCGCAGGTGCTGACCGCGCTGCGCTACCTCCACGTCGAGTTGCGCGCGCTCCACCGCGACGTCAAGGCGGCCAACGTGCTCCTGACCGCCTCGGGCGCCGCCCGAGCGAACTCGTGTGGACGCGAGGACAGCTGTGAACAGCGTCTCTTCACACCTGCAGCTGTGAACAGGAGCGCACTCGTGTGGACGCTCTCCTCCAGAGAGCAGCGAGGCGACTCACGTGTGTGTGGCTGGGCCTTTTAGGTGCGGTCAAGCTCGGCGACCTCGGCGTGGCGGCGCAGGTGTGTTCAGCCCTACAAGCGGGAGACGCAAAGGGCACGTACTCAACTGGACTCGACCGTATTTCGCGGTTTCCGCGGTATCCACCGCAGCCGGGCGTATTCACGCGGTGCTCTGAGTACTCTGCACAGTACCGCATCCCCGCCCTGACGCTGGCGGAAAAAAACCCACGTAGGTGTACAGCACCATGGCGAAGCGCGGCACGATGATCGGCACGTTGCACGCCGCACGGAGACGCACCCGAGAAGGCATGCCGCGTCCACGACACGTCCACGTCATGTCGTTAGGCACGCCGCATTGGATGGCGCCGGAGGCGTTTGCGGCTGTGACGGCCATTGATGGCGATCCGTACGACAACAAGGCGAGAGAGGGATTAGGAGGGGGAGGGGGGGGGGGGGGGGGGTCCGAGGGAGCGGTTCCTCGCCGTCGCAAGTGTGCGGTGTCGTGCCACACCGCTTCCGGCGCTCGCCCATTTTTTAGGTTGACATCTGGGGGGTTGGCATCACTGCCATCGAGCTGATGTCGATAAAACCCCCCTGGTCCTCCCTCTCCTCCGTCTTCGAAATCATCCTCGCCATCGAAAAAAACCCCCCGCCCGAGGGGGAAGGCTCCCCCGTGCTGCGCGACTTCGGGAGGGGCGCGCTCGTCAAGGACGCCGTCGCGCGCCCCTCTGCCGAAGTGTTGCTCAAGAACAAACTCTTCCCCGGGGCGCGCAGGGACGCGCTTGCGGCCTTCGTCAAAAAGGGGGCCCCCAAAATTG